TTGTTACATTTTATATCAAAACTACGTTATACTGCATAAATAGTTAGTGTGTGATTTTATTTGTCTTCTTTCTCTCTCTTTCAACAATACGAGATTGGCGATTTGAATAAAATGTGTGGCAATGTGTAGGGTATTGCGTAGACCAACAAACACTTTCCAGAACAGATGGTACTTGCAGTATCTTCAACTCGGGATAAGTTTGATATGGTCGGAAGCATATTGGAAACCTTCTGTGGCAGTTTTTGAAACATCTTGTACTATGACCGAAATTTACGGAATAAGACTAATGATTTGCTGTTGAAATTTTATTCTCTTAGGAAAAGGAGTTTTTAAAACTTAATTATATTAAATATAGAGTTTTCTTTACAATCATTCAGTTATTTCTCTTTTACGCTTTTACTAGAAGAAAATGATTTGTATTTTATGTACTTATTAACAAGTAATATAGTTGGTATTTTATGCACTTATTAACAAGTAATATAGTTGGTATTTTATGTACTTATTAACAAGTAATATAGTTAGTATTTTATGTACTTATTAACAAGTAATATAGTTGGTATTCTATGCACTTATTACCTCCCCCCCCGTGGCACAGCGGCATGTCTGCGGACTTACAATGCTAGAATCCGGGTTTCGATACCCGTGGTGGGTCAGAGCACAGATAGTCCATTGTGTAGCTTTGTGCTTAATTACAAACAAACAAAATGCACTTATTAAATACGTGATATATTTAACAATGTGTGTATTTACTATATAATATCTAATACTTTACGTTTGTTGCACGCACTTTCTTAAAGAATATAATATATTTATGTTTGTTTGTAGCTACACCAAGGGCTATCTGTGTCTGTCCACCACTGGTATTAAAACCCAGTCTCTAGCATTGGAAGTCCGCAGACATACCACTGTGCCACTGGAGGCATATATTTATGTGTTAGCAAGAAGCTTACCAAGTGTATTTATAAATACAAATAACACTCCTTCCCTTATCGTTGATCTAGCTAAGTAACCATGGAAGCTGATATTTTCAAAACTATAGTCCATAGCTGTTCCTGTCAAATTTTTTTTTCTGTGTACTCGCCGGATTTAGGTGCAATATAATAAGTTTTTTTAATAACCTGTGCAATAATTAATTAGCCTCTGTTATTAATTTATAAAGACGTCTAGTTTCTCCTTGAGTAGTGTTTCCCGCTAAGTCTGCTACACGTGACCAATGAAAAATGACACAGACATTAAGGAGATATCAAGAACCATATGAAAGTCATTTTATTTACCCATTATAGTGAACCTAGAAACAGTTTCTTAAGCTTCTGGAAGCACTTTTTGCTCTATGTCTTGTCCTTCAAGCAAACATTGGATATTGTATAAGAGCATCCGGGTAATTTATAGGATGATATCGGATAGCCAAGATGAGTGAACTTAACTTTTTTCTAAAAAAATGCATCAGTGAAAAAAGGCTTCAGCTGGAGATACCATCTATTTACTCCAGATAGAAAACACTTAAATATTTAAAGGAAAAACTTTACTACATAAGGTACTATAGATAAAAATTCAATCGTTAAAATTCCGATTTTCTTTAACTTCCATTTCGAGTCATGACTATCGTATTTCATATTCCAACAGGTACATAATACAAATGATTATGACTATCGTATTTCATATTCCAACAGGTACATAATACAAATGATTATGACTATCGTATTTCATATTCCAACAGGTACATAATACAAATGATTATGACTATCGTATTTCATATTCCAACAGGTACATAATACAAATGATTATTAACTTTTGAATAACTACTTTGCTGTTTTTTTATTTGCTATTTTGCAGAAATGAGTTTTGATTTGTGTAAGCTGAAGATTATTTACTTTCCTAAAATAAGAATTATGACTACTTATTCGTATTATTCCAAACAACGCAAGAAAAAACACTCAACAAAAAACATTTAAATGTAGTAATCAGTTAAAGATTAACCATATAGTTTTTATATTTCTTCTGTAGAAAAAAGTATTGAAATATTTTTTGTCGTTTGGTTTATATATATATATACACTCTGACTGAAAAAAAACAAACACTTGGAAGATAGGAGCATTAACGGAAAAATATAAAAAGAGAGGAACGTATATGAGTATATATTTGCTGTTGTTCGGTTTATATATATATATATATATTTCATGTCGATATTCATACATGCATGATTTTACTGTATCATGTCGAATATATTGATTTGAATTGAATTGAGTATCTCCTCTTTGACACTTATAAAAATGACAATCGTTTAAAACGTTCATTTCGATAGTAGTTTTTTTCTTGCGCTTAGTAAATGACAAGGAACGGTGACATCCAGCGGAAATAATCCCCGTGGCCACTTAGCTAAGCTGGGTGTTCTATTGTGCTAGATGCATCCATTGCATCCAAACTTAAACATTTCTGCCAACATTACATGGCAGTCAGACTCATTTGCTTAAAAACCACAATACAAATTTTCTTATTGAAATAACACCTGGAATGACAAAACAAACGGTTGTAAACGGCCCACCAGACAATTATATTGAATATACGTCCTGATCCAAGAATTGGGTTCATCACTATTTTTTTTTAGGAAATTTACTTTTGAATTTTTTCAAAGGGTATCTACTAGTTAATTATAAGCTTGTAAAAGACGTTCACATCATAGCAACTACTGTTGTACCACTACCATATTTGTTATATCCCGGCAGGCCTAAATAGCTCTGAATTGAGGGTAACGCGTCGTCAGCAATGGATATGGCAAATATAATGTGATTGTAATATTATTATCATACACTCTTCTAATTCATAAAAATCCCCAAGGAATTAGATAAAGAATGTAATTTTTGAAAATACAATAGGCCTAATACTAATGTCTTATGACAAGAATAATTAATTATAATTATGCTTTGCCAGATTGTAAAAGGCGTTCATACCATAACGCCTTTTTATATCATTTTTCATATAAGTTGAACCTTTTAGACTCGTGCTTTAATGTTTGATTAATCGATAACGGTTTTCCAATTTAGTTTCAACTGGATTAGTGAATTTGTATATTAATAGCTCCTGACGAAACTGTAATAAAATAATGAGCCAGTACAGATACATTCTCGAGATGTAGATCGTTATTTTATTTACATTAATAGAAATTTCAGCCAACTTATTGTTACCATATTACCAATTAAAACAATATTGCAGAAAGTCACCCATCTTAATGTAATTATACCACTAAATGTAAACAATATTACAAAAATTCAGCCAATTTATTGTTATCATATTACTAAATATCATAACAGTATTGAAGAAAGTCAGTCAAGTCACTATTGTCAGTATTATCAAATAGTGAAAAGTCAGCAAATTAAATTTTATCACATTATTATTGTATCAGTAAATTAAGAAATGTTGAACAAAAACAACCAACTAATTCTTATCATATCATTATATTTATCAAATATATCAGAGAAGCCCAGGCTCAGTTTCAACATGTCACAAGAATAAACAAAATTGTAAAGAAATAATGATAAATTATTATCCTTGTTTCATAATCCTTTTCTCTTTATTGTTACACCATATACCATCCGACTAAGATCAAAGATTTTCTGGCGCCAGGATGTCACTTTTTGGCGTCTCTTTTTTCGCGTTTAGAAAAACAGGATCGTAAATAATGGGATTTAGAACAAGTTAGAATTGTCAGTTCTAAATCTCTAATTTATTTTATCATTGAACAGAAACCACTAACGTTTCTTTGTGTTGAATTAGAAGAGAAGTATTGTATTTTGCTTTAGGCACCCATTCACGTGCTGTCTGGAATATCAAAACGTTTACAATTCTTACGGGTTAAGAACAAAAACATTAACTATTTCTTGACACCAGCTTTTAAAAATGTTTTTTTTTTAATGTAACGTTTTCGACAAATCAATTAGAACCGATTATTTATTGTTAACATATCTGCAAAATATGCAGCACTACTACTATAGTATAAATAGGTTTGAGTACATTGTATTAAAACGATCTCACGTGACAAGCACAGTCAATATAAAGTTGCTGTGGAACGGAATGTACCAATACTACATTTTGACATTCTTTGGCGTTAGTAGGTAGTGTGATACCACCGAAACTTGGGACAGAATTTACCGACGCAAAATATTCATACACTCAGATCATAAAGATGTGTTCAGTCAGGAATTTAGAACTTCCAACATGGGAGTATCCATTGTACTTAATGGTATTGAAGAATGAATGAAGATTAATCAACACGGAGCACCAGAATCATCCAGATAAAGTATTTGTGGATCCAAATTTATAATATTTAGAATAAAATGTTTAATTAGAAAATAGTCATACCGCAGTCATGGTAAGTAAAGTACAACGTCTTCTATCAGGTGAAGATCCACAAACACTATTTCAATAACAAAAGCCATCCACGTGGCTCAGGAAAATTACAACACAACCAAGAAAGATCTTCTTCTGGGAAATCGACACAAGTCACGTGCACACAAGTTACTTCCACGAAATATCCAGGAAAGGAAGACAAACTGTAGAGAATTGTATGAAGGATGCCTGGCTAGATTTAAATAGCAGTGCACTTGAAGAAACCTTGATAACTCTAACAACCCTTGTGCCATTTTTTACCGGTAGATAGGTAAAAAAGTTTTCCAAAACTGATATTTAGCATATGACAATTCTTTTTCGAAAGGATTCACGATCAGTACTAGATACTGTGTCAGGGTCAAAGTTAAGAATCAGGTCAAGGTGGTGCGACACCAAAATCGTTTTAATATAACGTATGAAACCCTACGGAAATTGAACTACAATATCTATCCTAAACGAAACTGGTAGAAAATTGTGTTCAATAGTCAATACATTCTATGTTATTTTATTTCGATAATTTTATATTACCTTATATTTACAAGTTACGGAAACATTGCTATCAAACCATTTAGGCATAAAACATTGTTCAATAATTTTAGTTTATTTTGTTTTTGCAGGTTACGGAAACATCGCTCCCAAGACCTATTGGGGAAAACTAGTGACCATCGTGTACGCCATCATCGGCATTCCTTTAATGTTTCTTTATCTAACCAACATCGGGGACTTGCTAGCTAAGACTTTCAAGTACATCTATGGGTGGTTGTGTGATTGTAAACCGAATGAAGACAAACGTCGACGCCGACATCCTGAGCACTATCGAGTTCATCACATCGTTCTCCACGACACGACACCAAATACCCACAATTCTCTGAACCCAAATTTTCCCAGTAAGTTTGGTGGACCTCTCCCAGATGAAATCAAGATGGAAGCCCTGCCGGAAGAAATCTCAGAAGAAAAGGATTATGGGAAACAAAGAGTCAATGTACCAGTTACGTTATGCTTAGCACTGATTACAGGGTACATCTGTGGGGGCGCTTTTCTGTTTTCGCTCTGGGAAGGGTGGGACTATCTAGATGGCGCTTACTTCTGCTTCGTCACACTGAGTACTGTTGGGTTTGGGGATCTGGTTCCTGGTGACACTGTCGTTTCAGATGCTGAAGGATCTCAGCAAACGTTGGTCATTTGCTCATTTTATTTGCTTGGAGGCATGGCTTTAATCGCCATGTGCTTCAATCTTGTACAGGAGGAGGTCATCCGTAAATTACGGAGCTTTGGTAGAAAACTTGGAATAATACGAGAAAGAGAAGACACGCAAGCATGAGTCAAAGGCCGAATTGATGGATCATGTGTGAACAAACAGACTCAAGGAAAGAGGCTAAGGACTTGATCGAAAAGTCAAATAAGGTCGTTTAATTTGGGATCAAGATTTAGAATTGTAATGAAAGGGGGAACAAGCAACAAAAAAAGATTGGGAGCATGAGTAAAAATCTTAAGACTCAAGAGACACGCAGGAATGAGTCTTGGGTTGAGGTTTAGAACTGGAAGACATGCGTAAATAAATCTAAACGGAGACTAAATAATCTTACAAAAATGGGTCTAGAAAGGGACTAAAGGTTCTTATAGAACTGTAAAGAAACACAGTAAAGATCTGTTGAGGAAGATTTGAACCGTGGAAATCAAAACTGAAAAATAGGTACAAGATTATGAAAAGGCGGATTAAAGCTATTTGAGATCGAAGATAAGCAAAAGAGTTTGAGGAGTAGAAGAGCTAGAAATGTATGAAACCGGAAGAGAGACACAATAATATAAGGAGGAAGAAGAAAATTAGATCAGTATGAAACCGAAATGAGAGGTACAAGAACAATATGAACCCATAAGAGAACCGCAAGAGTTTGGGGAGGAGGATTAGAAGTATAACTGTCCACCTGAGATTTTGATAATTTATCAAATTATCAACTTTAAAATTTTGTAGGAAAATTATTTTGGAAAATGATAACAGTATAATAATTATGAATTTAAAGTTCAGTTTATTTAATAACAATACTTTAGCTATGACTTGAACACTTTGTTTCTTGTATAATTGCGCTCCAGTCTTGAGATCCACTTTTAATTTGCTCTGTATTTTTACTTTTCTTAGAAGTTGAACCTATAGGTTCTTTTATATCTGTATTCTACTCATGAGTTGATCTAATAATTTCCTATATCACCATACTTCATACCATGTCTTGAGCTTTTAGTTTCATGTATACCTACAATCTAGTCATGAGGTAATTTAACAATTTTCTATGTTACTGTATTTTAACTATGACTTGAGCTATAAATGTGCTCTAATCATGAGGAAAATGTTAGATTTATTATTTTACCATACTTTAACTATGACTTTTAGCTTCACGTATAACTAACTATACTCTACTCATGAGTTGATCTAATAGTTTCCAAATCGCCGTACTTTAACTATGACTTGACCTTTTAGTTTCACGTATAACTATACTCTACTCGTGAGCTGACCTAATAGTGTCCAAATCGCCGTACTTTAACTATGAGTTGAACTTTTAGTTTCATGTATAACTGTGTTTTTACTCATGAGTTGACCTAATACTTTCCTATACTGCCGTACTTTAACTATGAGTTGAACTTCTAGTTTCATGTATAACTGTGTTCTTACTCATGAATTGACCTAATACAACTTTTTGTTACCGTGGTTTATGTATGAGTTGAGTATTTATTTTTCATATATAACTGTACTCTACTCATGAGTTGATCTAATAGTTTCCTATGTTACCCTGCTTTAACTATTAGTTGAGTTTGTATTTCCCTGTACAATTGTTCTCTGTGTTTACTGTCTTACCACATTTCAAGAAAAAGTATTTCACAGCAGAGGTAAAGTTTGTATAAATCGACTTAGATGTGACTGTACACAACCAGACTTGACTAATACGTACTAACCCACATTTTCTCATAGTGAAGAAGGTGTCTGTCTTCTAGTGTTGGTTAACGACAATATATTAATGCTTCAGTGAAATTCAGACATCATTGTGCCTTACACAGTAATGTAGTTTCTATCAAATAGTAGCTGTTTCCATAGTCACTTGTAGCACTTTCACTGAGAGAACTTCAACAGAATAAAATCAATTATAAAAATTTAACCGTAACAAGGTTATAACGTATTTAGTATTAACCCTTATTGCATGTGAAGAAAGTATCAGTATAGAAGCCATAACGTCGTCCATTTTTCATTCAACAGATGATTGTAGTCCGTTAATGTTCTCAAACCTATCTATGTATACTCCACTAAAGTTTCGCTCTTACGACATTAGTCAGAGTTGGAAGGAAGTCAAGGCATACGACAGGGTCATATGTTCAGCAAATAATGGAAACAGCATTAGTCAGGGTTGAAAGGAAGTCAAGGCATACATACGACAGGGTCATATGTTCAGCATATAATGGAAACAGCATTAGTCAGGGTTGAAAGGAAGTCAAGGCATACATACGATAGGGTCATGTGTTCAGCATACAATGGAAACAACATTAGCCAGAGTTGAAAGGAAGTCAAGGCATACGGCAGGGTCATGTTTTCGGTGTGCAGTGGAAATACTTGAGTAATTGTAAGTTTTAAATTACCTACTTTTGTTTCAGAATTATTTTTCAAATCTTCAAATGATCAGGAGATAGGAGAGTTATTACTTCAATTGCAAAGTTGAAAATGATCCCATATGATACTCACTTAGCTTTACTCGGATTGTCCCTTTTTCTTGTAAGTTGTTATATCTAGATACTTCTTGTTTCAAGAACCCGGCGGTAGCATCTGCTTTCTATTAAGAAATAAAGTACAGACGAGACACAAAGCTAGTTGATCATAACAAAAGAACGGTGACTGACTGATATTTGAATGATGAAAAAGTAATGGTGAAAGTTAATGCTGTCTAACATAAATCTGTTCTGAAATGATGTTGTCTTAAGGGAGAACAGACACTACTTCAACAAAGAAAATAATTTACTAGTACCTCATCGATTTATTATTCAAACCCTTGCTAACAAACATATATCTAATATAACGCTATACGTAAAACACAGAAAGTGATTTCAATCAGGTTTAGGACTTACTGGGTAGTGACGTTTAAAACCGAAACAAATAGTCTCAATAACGTTAACACGAAAGCCAGGTTTGTTGTTTTCTGCTTATGTGTCATGGGTTCTCCGAAATATTAAGGAAGAATGACGTGTTATAGTTGCTCCTAAAGTTAAGGATACTTTCTTCCTTCAACAATGATTTATCACACCTACATATTATATACAGAATTCCATAACTTATATACCGAGCTCTAGTTACGTATTCCATTTCCCTTTTGTACTGTAATAACTCCACTTTACATTTTACCGGGTACAATCTAACAGCGATTTTACAAGAAACTGCACTTTGCAACTGCGAGAAACAACAAGAACAAAATAAAACTACGTTTTATTAATGTGAACAGCATCGCCAGCTACGTGCGTAATGTTTCCTAAGTCTGCAATTTTCAAGCCCCTAACACGTGTTCGTTAATGCTATTTGTAATGTAAAACAAGCCGAAATGGTTATATGTGAGATAAAGACGTTTTCAAAAATCAGTTAACATCCAAAGAGTGGACCGTGAACATAATCACGCTTCGGAGAAAAAGAATATTCTATTTTGTACTCCTTTGAATAATCTTTGTTTCCAGCCTTAGAGACTTTCCGTGGTCATGTAGTCTGGGATGGGATTTGTTATTGTTCTGTGTAGTCTACATAATCATTAGATTCTAGTCGATGAAGATCCGTCTTTAATAATTTTAGTTATTGGTCCAGAAATTTACGTAGTCATCAAATCATTCGGATAATGATGGACAGTCTCTAAGTTCTTTATCGTGCCTCAGTTTGTTATTACTTTGTGGGTTTTTTATAGTCATGGTGATGTGGGACTGTTTATAAATACTTTATCTCTTCTCGTTTTTTTTATTATTCTCTGGAATTCACGTAGTCATTTTGTCTCTCTGTGAAGAGGGTCTATCTCTGAATTTGTTATCTCTCTTCGATTTGTTTTTACTCTTTGTAGTTCATAAAGTTAGGTAATCTCTTGGTCATGAGGGTGTGTGACTAAGATCCTTATTCCTCCTCGGTTTGTTGCCTTATGTAAATTATATAATCATATAGTCTCTTGGTGATGAAAGGCTGTAGTTAACATCTTAATCTCTTCTTGGTTTGTTATTAAACTATATAGTCATATAGTCTCTTGGTGATGAAAGGCTGTAGTTAACATCTTAATCTCTTCTTGGTTTGTTATTAAACTATA